GCTGTGCTCAAACCAAATGGTAAACATTTAAATTCATAGAGTGCATTATTAAAATAGAATCTTAAGTATGTCCGGTCGCTTTTTTCGATAGGAACCAAGTAATAGGCGCCTTTAAGATCCAGCTTACCCATGAGACAATTGGGTGTCATTAGTTTACATGCTGTTTTATAATCTTCTAGTTTGAAATGTTTGGGCTCAACGAATTTATTCAAATTCTTAAGATTAAGAATTAATCTGCTTGTTCCGTCTGCATTTGGAATTGAAAAAATATTTGAAATGAACTGATCGTCTTGGGGACGACAGGTGCTAACAGTGCCTTTTAATGTTAATTTTTCGATATGTTCTCTAATCAAAGTTTTTTCTCTGCATGGCCAAGAAGGTTCTTTAGGACTTATGTTTTGGACTACTGTTTTGCAAAAAGGAATTTTATAGCCTCTAATCCATCCCCAAATACTGGAATCGGAAGTTATCAATTTCCAGTTTTAGAAAAAACTTTTCAACCTCCTAGCAGGTTTACTTACTTTCAACTCCTTTATATTTTCTTTTCCTGATTGCCTGGATGGTTGCGGCGATTCTGACGATTCCCCCCCTGGTGATAATTCCAGTTTCTCTTGGCCGCTTGATTCTGACTGTGAGATTTTCGATACTCGCCTGATACTACCGGCCTGAAGGGTTGACGCCGACGCGGGCCTCTGAAGTTTTTTGGTTTTTTAGAATTCTTCAATTTTGTGTTCAACTCTTGTCCGGATTTCTCAAAAATCTTATCCGCTTTCAGTCTCTCGCTTAATTTGTCCCCAAATAACCATTCGTCCGCGGGTGCGGATTCCAGACCAGTCTTATGAGACTGATCTATGATGGCCATGATCACTCTCCTACGAGTGAGGGTTTCATCTCTCTGTACGTCAACCATTAAACGTGGGGATTCGCTGAGTTTCTTAGCCAACGCAACTTGTGCGGAAGATAACTTCTTGTTCTCCTTAATTATCTCGGTGATAGCACTCCCTAAGAGAGCCAAACTAGCTGTAATCTTTCTGTTTTTCGACTATTCTTTCGTCCCTCTTCACCGAAGCTTCGCTTAGCAATTTTTTAATTTCTTCATTAAGTTTCGGTGGGTCTATGATGACGCAATTCTTTGGTGGAGCATTATCTTTAAGTACATTTTCTCTTTCTGCGTTTGGCAACCCTTTTTTCAAAATATCACTGAATCGTAGCGCAATGCTGTTGGCTATAGGCTGACCCAAAACTCGCTCGGTAATTAATCGGTTACCCAGCGCTTCTAGAATTTCTGTATCAAGATCCTCGATTACTTCCTCTTTATCTTCTGATGAAGATTCAGATCCTTGTTTCACCTGATTTTCTTTCTCATCTCCCCCCTCATTTCTGGTATTTTCACCGTCTTTGGAAACCTGATTCTTTGGGAGATCGTTTTCCATTTTCACATTACCATTCTCGATTATGTCAGGAGAATTTGAGCGTCCGCGAACGCTACTACGTCAAGGTGGAGTACCCGTCAGTGTATAATTACTTCCAGCTGAATCAAACCAGGTGTAATTCTCCTCGTCAGTTATTCGAGTAGAACAAAAAAAATGGGCGTAGGACGCCAGGTCACAAGGTGAAAAACCCCCAGAGCTAAGAAAGGAAAAAGAGAGAAACTGCTTAGCCAAATGGAAAACTTTTGAATATAACATCCGCCTAGACTTGTGACTATTATTATTATTAAGGTTAAGGTTAAGGTTAAAATACGGATAGGCATTTGCCGCCCTCTTGCCACCGAACCCTTACTGGGCTATTGTGGCTCCGTTTTCCCACCGATCCCTATAATTCTAGGCCAGTTCTTCTCACCAGTTTTAGTAGATTCCCGGCGTCTAGGTCCGCTACGTAGCTGATGCTAGGGAAGGCGGTTCCCCAGCAATTTAGCCTTGTTGTAGCCAGTGCAGGGCAACTACAAAGTATATGTAGGCTGTCCTCGTCTACCTCAAAGCATAATCTGCAGCGGGCATCGCTTTCGATGCCCATGTTTTTGCCGTGTGCCCTCAACCTACCATGTCCAGTGAGGAGCCTGATTGTGGTGCTCCGTTCCTCTCTTTTCATGTTGAGTAGCTTTTCTGCCCTTTCCTTGTTTAGGGTTGGCATGAGGGCTTTGGATTTTCTGCAGGTTGTGATCTGCTTCCATCGCCTTTGGTGTTCCTTCCGTAGTTTGTTTTGAATTTGAGACATTCCGGTAGCGAAAGGGACTCCCACTGTCATGACCTGGTCATCATTTGACGCCCCATTCCTTGCCAGTTGGTCCGCTATCTCGTTTCCTTTCATCCCGTTGTGGCCCGCGATCCATGCCAAAGTTATTTTATTGGTTGCCCCTAGTGCTTCTATAGCTGCCATCGTCTCCCAGACCAGCTTCGATTCGGTGCTTGGTTTCTTTAGGGCTTTGATGGCAGCTTTGCAGTCCCACCAGACATATATATGTTTTCTTGAGGTCGGTTTTGATAGGAGAAGCTCTATGCAGGTTTTAATTGCAAGGATTTCTGCCTGAAAAACAGTGGCCAGGGGTCCAATGGACCAACTGTCTCTGTGGTTTTCTTTTGGCCCGTATAGCCCTGCACCGTATTGGTGTCCACGACCCGAGCCATCCGTGTACCAGTGTATTACATTGCCACTTGGGGATTGTTTTACCATTTCCCGGTCCTCTCTCTCTGTTGTTCTATCCTGATCTATGTTCAGGGGGCTCCTCTTCAGTATATCGAGCTTGGCATGTGCCGCACTCGACTGATTCCATTCCCCCTGGCATATCAGCCTATAGGCGGTTGCCTCTGCCTTGTACAGTACCGCTAGATCAAGTGGTGGTGTGTTCATTGCCACTTCCAAGGCTTCGGTCGGTGTGGTTTCCATCGTCCCAGTTGCAGCCCTGAGGAAATTTCCCTGGAGTGCTTTTAACTGGTTCTTAGTCCCAACCTTCCTTATCCTGTGCCACCATATCACAGCAGCGTTCATAAGCCTTGGCAGTAGTACCACCTTGTATAGCCATAGGCTGATTTTGGGGTTGAAACCCCACGTCCTTCCTATGGCTCTTTTGCAAGCCCAGAGTGAGGCATATATTTTGCCCATCTGTGTGGCTATGTGTTGTTTCCAGTGAAGCTTGGTGTCCAGAGTTACTCCCAGGTACTTCACTGAACTAGCGTAAGCGATGTCCACTCCTCCAATTTTAATTGGTCGTGGAGTGACCACTTTATATTTTCTGGTGAAGATCATGGCAGACGTCTTTCCAGGATTAACTGTTGGTTTCGTTTCCTTACAGCATTCCTCCAGGATTCTCACACCACGGATTTGTCTGTCTCTTAGAGTTTCGAGTAAGTTTCTCCTGGCGACAATGGCTATGTCGTCAGCATAGCCGTTCACCAGAAAGTTCTTTTCTCTCAATTTCTCTAGGAGGTCATCGAGAACTAGGCTCCACAGGAGTAGAGACAGAACTCGTTCCTGTGGACAACCCTTGGTCGGGTGCCCTTCTACGTGTGAGCCGTTGTGTGTGGTAGTTATTTTCCTGCTCTCCAACATGCATTTTGTCCAGTCAATGATGCAGGCTGGAAAATTTTTCCTCGACATGGCCCTTGTTATGACCTCGTATTTAGTACGATCAAAGGCGTCCTCGATGTCCAGGAATAGGCTGAGTACGTAGCCCTTTCTCTCTATCTGTTCCTCAATCTTGGCCACTAGGCGATGCAGGGCCATTTCCGGCGACCTGCCTGCCATATTGTGAGGCTGATAGGGGTTTCTCAAGTAGTGAGCTCTTTATGTAGTGATCCACCAGTCTTCCCAGTGTCTTCAAGATGAAGGAGGTGAGGCTGATGGGTCTGAATCCCCTGGGCTTGATCTGCCCGTTCTTTCCAGGTTTGGGGATGAAGGCAATTCTCGATCTCCCACAAACTTTTGGTACAGTCCTTAGTGCTATGCTTGCCCTAAGTATTTTCGTTAAGGGTTCCACAATAATGTCGATCCCCCTCTGCAAGAGGATTGGGTAGACACCATCGGGTCCCGGTGCTTTTAGGGGTTCAAAGGTGTTGACGGCCCACAATACCCCTTGCGGGTGGACTATCTTAGCTGCCAAGGCCCATTCCTGCGGCTTGTAGGTGCCTCTAAGTTTTTCTGTCCCTTGTCTCATATCTCCCGAGTTCGTGAACCCCGGGAAGTGCTCTTCTAGCGGCAGTTGGAGAGTTTCTTCTGTGGTCCAGGTATAGCTTCCATCCGGTTTGATGAGACAACCCAGATTAGAAGCGCCCTGTCCTCCTAGTATCTTTACCAGCTTTGAAGCTTCAGATTGGCTCTCCACCCCACTGCTAAATATCTTCCAGCCCTCGTTTTTGGCTATTACGAGTGCTTTATTATATTTCCTCTGAAGATCTTTGCGATCTTCGAGGGCGTTCGGCCTGCTGTTTACCGTGTACGCGGTCTTCACCTTGTTCCACGCTTTCCTTAGCTGGCGTCTTAAAATGAACAGTTGGTTATTCCACCAGCCCACCATTTTTGTATTCCGCGGTCTTTTAATGGTGCAGTTGTTTTCATAAGAGTCCCTGGGGAGAGATTTTGCGCGTTTTTACCGACTTAAAACTTATTTTTTTGCTCCCGTTAGGGGGCGTGCAATACAGGCGTTGTGTGCAGGTTTTGTGAACACGGGCGCGGTGATAATTCAAATTAAATTTTCTATCAAACTGTTGCAAACGATTGACGATAGATCGAGTAATAAATGATCGGTGGATAGGAGATATTTGTAATATACTCAGAGGTCGAGTAGTCTACCAATAATTTGGGCAATGGTATAATATTAGGTTATGCAATTATTTACTTAAGTGATAGAAGCAGTTTTCTGTCATTTTTAGTCGGTTGTAAGTCTACCGACAATGTTTGTATACCCGAGGAATTTAGCAGGTGCACTTGTAGCAATAATAGCTGCGAGAGATATCGAAGCAGGAAATGAGCGAGTAAGGATAGAAGGAAATAGGGTGAGGAATATGGAAATGAGAGAATCACAGAATCTCTTTCATACTTTAGATGAGCGTTCTTTCAGGAAACGGTTTAGGTAACATTGCACGTCGTATAATTTTCATGTATCCATACTTTTTCATAATAGGAAGTGTTTAATATAGTTGAATATTTCTTGGCTAGGCTAACAAAAACGTTAACGGAGAGGCTTATTCGACGCATTTCTCCCATCCTACCTGATGAAGGCCCGACATCATCTGTATCAAAGTCGATTCAGGTAAATAAAAATTATTTGAATTGGGTTTACTATCATTTTCCATGCATGTTTTGTTTCAGATTCTCGTTACATTAAGATTTTATGCTTCGGGAGACTTCCAAGAGTCCATTGGGGACTCAAAATTCTTCGGTCTATCCCAATACATGGTTAGCCAAATCATTTCGAATGTCACAGATGCCATTGGATCTCTATCGGATGAATATATACGATTTCCTGAAACCGAAGAGCAATTCCAAGAAATCTCTAATGGGTAACCCCTTCGTCATATAAACCCTCAATCTAAAAATTCAGTCTGTGGTGTTGGTGAACATTAATGATAGTTGTGTAATAATTAATCGAACTCTTGTTATAGGTTCCAACAGAGTGGTGGCTTCCCAGGTGTGTTAGACTGCATTGATTGCACTCATGTAATCATGCGATCCCCCTCAATAGAGCCTTGGCAATTCAAAAATTATAAAGAGAGTTATTCTCTCAATATCCAAGTGACTTGTGATCATCAAATGCGCGTAACTTCGATCTGTGCATACAATGGCAGAACACATGATTCCAAAATCTGGCGCGAATCTGATACAAAAGAAAAGATGATCAGAGTGAATGAGGAGTTTGAAAGCAGATACTTCCTGCTCGGTGATGAAATTTTGCATTTCATGTTAATTTTCATGTTTAATTTATTTTCCAGGCTGTCTACCATCCACATACAAAATAGTTTTTATCATAACTTGAATTGCTTAAGGATGTTCTGGCGGGGTCAGAACGTATCCGAAAAATGAAGAGAATCGAGTGAAACTTTTTTAAAACATTATTTAAGGCATTTCAAAACCATGTGTAAAATTTCAAAAATTTCATCAACAGAAAAACAATGAAAATAAATTGTAAAGTTGCTACTTATACACGGGATCAAGTGGAGCATCGATAACTTCAACATTTTACCTATATTGCCGATTGATGGATAATGTAGAGAAAATGCTAAAGTTATCGATGCCTCATTTAACCTTATGCATAAATACTAATTTTACAATTTATTTTCATTGTTTTTCTGTTGATGAAACTTTTGAAATTTTGCCCATGGTTTTGAAATGCCTTAAATAATGTTTTAAAAAAGTTTCACTCGATTCTCTTCATTTTTCGGATACGTTCTGACCCCGCCAGAATATCCTTAACTAGAGAAGAACACGACATTTAGGATTACAACTTAATAACCGTAAAATCTTTATTTTTAAACTGAACAATAGTATTTATAACTCTACTTCACTATACATGTGTAAGCCATATGCATCTTTTTTGGTATCGGTGTTAGAAGTATTACAAGGACTTAAATCTTATGTACGTAATGAACATCGAAGTAGCATCTAAGATTATCCGCTTATCTCCTCATCATATTGTTTGTCATCCTCGTGTGCCTTCTCCTCTTGACTGTCGTTATCAACCCGATATCCCTCGGTCTCAAATGGATGGTGCTGCGTCCTGAGATTTTCTCTGTAATTGAAGATAATACTGTATTAAATGGAGACCTCAGTAATACTCTCAAATCATATTGTTCATCATGTTATGCAATATACAGCAATGACAGCATTTTTGTTTTGGCGGAATTACCTTGTAAGCAAGTTTTTGAAAATATTATTCCTCCGAAAGCTCTTTCTGATAAAAAAACAACCATAATTTTGTATATTATACAATTGGAGGGTTCAACTCATCACCGTAATAGAGTTACGATGGGAAAAGGTAAATGTTTCCCTTTCAATAATTGAATATGACTTTTTTAGGAGATGCAGGTTACCCATTGTGTCCAACACTTCTCACACCTATCGTAGACGCTTTGGAAAACACACCTGAGGGCAGGTACACTCGTCGTCATTGTAAGACAAGATGTACAATAGAACGAGTTTTTGGTGCGATGAAGGGACGATTTAGGTGCATTCACCGAGACCGAGTATTGGCGTACGAACCAGAAAAAGTCGTTAAATTTTTTAAAAATTGTGCGATTCTTCACAATTACATAATTGAGAATAGGTAAATACTCAATGAAATAACCCTGTTTGAACCGCTCTTAAAACTGTTTCTCACTGAAAAATTGTCAATTTGTAAGGATTGCATCTGAGGATGTGGATGATGTCATGGATCAAGATGATGATGATTATAATTTGCATCAAGGGATAATGGACTTTGATGATATTGTTGTTGGGCAGCCAAACAGTGAGTTGATACGAGGACGTCATCTTCGTCAGCACATCATTGATAATTTTTGTACTGACTAATAATCGTTACGGAATTTCAACGTTATAATAAAAAATAAAATACAAAAATAATGACCTATTTTGTAATCAATTATTTACCTCCAATTCCATGTTTTGCATTCCATCATTTCTTCTGCTGATTCAGATTGAAGATATGTGGTAGGATCTTGGGTGCCAAAACAATTTGAGCTCATTCGTAAGGCTTCGGAAGAAACGCGTGAAGGGTTGGGTGAAGGAAATGACTGATGTGTTATCCGATCCGAAGATAGACGCAACAAGTAGTCATTGTACATCATCGTATTCCTTTCGTCATTTCTAATTAAAATAGGCAGTGCTTTTTTACAAAAATTGGCTATGGTAGCTAGAGACTTTGCTGATGAAGGCAAACTTAGGCTGAGAATATCATTGAGATTCTGTGGAAAAATATTACGTTACAAATCGTCAATTCATCATCAAATCGATTATTTCTGAAACTGATATTTCACCTTGCTTGCCTGAAGGCCTTCTACGGCATTATCTACAACCTCATTCAGGAGGGATGTTGAGGTTTCGATGTTCTTTTCGGGTTTGGAGAGTTGTGCTGCGAAATTGAAAGGAAGGTTTTATCTCTATTACGACAGCCTATGAATTTCGAAAGCCATACAGACATTTCTTCGACGTGGAAGGCGAGTCCTCCGTTGATGGACGTTTTGTAAGGAAGCCTGCAGTACCACCTGGAATAGGCTTTGAATTCTTCGAACCCCAGATGTCGAGAATGAACTTATCTCTCGTAGTTAAGTCATCATTAGTGGTGATTTTCGCATTACCCGTCTGTTGATATTTTTTCTGCAGCTTCACTTTCCTTTCAACAGCATTTTTCTTCAATCGATTCCAGCACTGTCAATTGAAAAAGTACAAATACGAATAAAATAATCCTATTTTATTGATGGCAATTAATTACCGCAATGCACTGAGCAGCTGTCTTGGTATATCCCTCTTCTGAAACTCTCTCAGCCACTCTGTAACATGAATAAACATTGCATTGCCAAGTCCTTCTATTTTTCATCTACGGACAAAAGTTTGGAAAAAGATTGATCAGTTACGTTTTCCACATTAGATTTTTCTTCCTGTGGCCACAAACTCCTAGGTCTCCATCCGTGGCCAACTCTGAATGTGTTGATAAATATTCAAGAAGTATGTCGATTTGTTTATTATTCATTCTTTCAGTTTGGACCCTTGGTTTCTTAGCAGGCTTATTTTCTGCGCTGATACCATCAGCATCAACTGGTTGATGGTTGTCATACTCGACTTCGACTGCTTCCTCAAGTGATTCATAACAACAATACTCTTCTTCATCATCATTAGGATCTGGGTTCCTGTAATGATGTTAAATTAACAACATGTTATTGGACAACCTCATACGAGTGAAAAAATAATATAATAATATATATTAACAATTTCAGGAGAGGCACACGACATCGTAGCAATCGCCATATAGCTTTCACAGATCTGTAAAATCTTTTTCAGACCAATAATTCTTTATCCCACAACATTACTCAAATTATCAACACCATATTTGTTTTTAGGGTAATGTCTGACTAGAAAAATTCTCTATTTGAACAGGGCTAATTAATAATTTAATAAAAAAAAATATATCAATTCAAGGGGTACACTATCTCGATTTCATAAATCTTGAATTACATTCGTTATGTTTTTGGAGAATTTATGGGTTCCAAAAAATATACAATACTTGAAACCTGATTTTTTTATTTTTTTTTATATGAAAAAATCATGCAAAATCGACTTATAAGGTGGACTTGGAACCTAACCAAAGAAAATTGAGCTTGTTCGGTCTTATTTACGGATTATTTGCTTTCTTTATTGCATTATTCTCCTATTTTTTTGCATGATTAGATTATTTTTGCGTTGGTTAACTTACATAATAATTATTTATGTATTTAAAACAAATGAATACTCAAAATACGCTAACAAGTTGTGGAATGTGCGCCAAAACTTTGACCATTGTTTACATTTTTATTGGACCCAGTTTTATAATATTATTATAATAAAGAAGTATTCCGATAATTGCAGTATCAAAAGCAGACCCATTATTACCAATTTGCCTAGGATAATTATTGTTCAAATGAGGAAATTTTCATTAATAAATATGGATTTGTTGCGGCGCGAAATTTAATTGCTCATCAAATGGTAGATTTATAATTTTTCTGAGATGCAAACAATAATAACAGGACTTTTTCTGTTTGCGATTCATTTATCATTGACCACTGAAAAACTCTCATTAGGAAATCCAATTCTATAAATGTTGATGATTTAATTCCTCAAAATACCAGTTTCAGCAGGATGAACAGTGTCAGGACTTGAAACGAATATAATTTATGATTAATAATAATTAAAATATGTGGAAATTTCTTTATTTGGAGGATAAAGTTCCTAACGCATGGATAATTACCGTGCAAATATGTCATACGCGATGTAAGTGGCAGTGGAAAATGAAAACATGTATTGCAGAATTGGTTTCTTTTCTGGACTATTTCATCTATATATTTTTTGGGAATTTAGCTGGTTTTATGGTCATTTGTAATTGCAGAAAATGAAAAAAATTTCTTTTAGAAATTGCCGAAAATGGGGATTCTTCTTTCTAAAAAATTAAAAAATAAAATTTGATGCATTAGGCGGCATTTTCACTGTACTTTTTATATCAATCATTAATGATGATGGATTCATTGGATTGTACTGAAAGTTTAAAGACAAATGAAACATTCGATTGATTGGTTTTTAACCATTGTTTCAAATTATTCAAAAGTAAGGAAAGAATACTAACCCTCACTGATTCAATATTGTCGGGAAGTTCACTGTAGTCGGTTGAGGAGTTTAGAATCTAACCCAAAGAAATAATAATGTTTGATAAGTCAGCTAGCAAAACAGAACTGAATCTGATAATGGAATATAGCAATTACCTCTTGATTTTGTTTTATTTGGACAAGCATTGAGGGCAAATTGGAAGGGTTACTTGATCGAATACATATCCAATGTAGATCCAATGTAGATCCGCGAGCCAAGTCTGGTGTTCTCCATGGTATATTCTTCTTGTTGGGCGGCATATGAGGATGTAAAAGGGTCTACCTCGTACTTTCATGAGCCTCCTTTCTCGTTCTATAAAAAAGAAGTCATTTGGCTAGCACCTATGAACTGCTCTCACTCTATTTCAATTTCATAGTTATTGAAATGTTATGGAAAAGTCGACGGTTAAACGTTGTCTAAGCCAATAATACGTACCTTTTCTGGGGGGAAAACAAAAAGAATACATGCCGGAATGTTTATGAAAACGGAACACGACAATAATTGACAATAGCAAAATTAATTGATTTGAGTATATTATACGATTTTTCTCATTTTGGAGCAGGATCAATATCTCTTAAGTTGCCATTTCGAGAGGAGTCCCCCTCCACATACCTAACTTGTCAGTGTTCTAAAAGGCATCTGATAAACGCCGCAAAACGCCCCCTAACGGGAGCAAAACAATAAGTTTTAAGTCGGCAAAAACGCGCAAAATCTCTCCCCTGATCACTTCCCCGAGACGTTCGGCTGCATGTTCCAGGTCTCTCTTATTTCTGAACCTTGAGGGTACATCTTGGATTCTCACCAAGAGTTCCTCTCTGTAATTGCCCCAGTTTGTGTCCTTTGGATTTCTCCGATTCGCGCTTTAGTGACAGGCGTATTTGGGTGTGGTCTGAGCCCGAAGGTTCTTTCGACACCCTCCAGTCTTTCGCCCTACGTGCCACGCCTGTCGTGCAGATGGTTATGTCTAACACTTCATGTCTTCTGCAGTCCATGAAGGTTGGTTCTTTCCCTCTGTTTAGGATTTGGAGGTCTTTTTTCATAATGGAGTCGTTTAGGGCTTCTCCTCTAACATTGGTATTTGAGCTTCCCCACCCCAGATGGTGTGAGTTCGCATCGCAACCAAGCAGAAGTTCTAGCCTTTCGTTCTTCACTTTTTTGACGCGTTCTCCGACTTCCCTTGTTGGGAGAGGTTCCATGGAATCATATGGCAGGTATGCCGATCCCGCTATGAATTCCAGGGCCTCGTTCTCCTCGCTAAGGACCTTGAGCTTCACAGCCGTAAGGTCCTCTCCGCTTTGTTGGTGTAAGAAGGTCGCCTGTGCGCCTTTTACTAACACACAGGTCCTAATCTTCTTTCCTTGGGTGCTCGAGTGAAAAATTCGTCCACACCCCCCCAGGCCCTTTACCCCCCTCGTTCACGAACCATGGTTCTTGAATTAGGGCTATGGCTGTCTGCACTCCAGCTAGCGTTTTGCAGAGAACTGCTGAGGCGCTTTTACTGTGGTGCAGATAAATCTGGACTATTTCTACCGACTTATGAACCATTTTGAGGTTCACCCGTCGACAGGCTTGTCTTTTTCCTCATGTCGGTTCTTCTCGAGCAACTTGACAGTTCCTCTTTGAGTCCCGCAGTAAGGTTTAAAATTGCAAGCCTCTAGGGCCCGCAGGGTTTGATTCCTGATCAGGGCAGCAAAGTGGGCGCCTGTATCTCCCCTCGTTTCGCTGCCTCTAATCAGGACGCAGTCACGTTTAAGGTCGGGGTTCTATCGTCCCATGAGCACGATTGCCTCCTGGGCGGTCACATCCTCGTCCCCAAGGTGAACTACCACCCGGTGTCGCTTCGGTAGCTCCTCCGGTGGCATCACCACGAGGACGAGGTCCCCGATTTTGTTTTCGGGGAACAGTCCTTTCAGCCAGTTCCCCGTTTCCTCATCGGTACAGCCGACAATGGCTGCCCCATCCCTCTCCCACACACCTTCAAAAGTCGGTGCCTTAGTCCCCTCTGGTAGGGAGAGGATCTGGGACCTAAGCGGTCCCTTCAGGCCCGTGATTTCTTCAGGTGTGATTTTTCGACCTGGGTAGTTGTCTGGGACGAGAGCCCACCTGATCATTTTCTTTGTGACCTGAGCGTAGGTGCCAAGATCAGTCTTGGGCCTTTTCTCAGGTCGCGTGTTGTAGGGCCTTGGGGTGCCATCGGGCTTCAGCCATTTCGCGGCTGCTCCCCTTGACATTCCCTCGCCCCTACTCTCACC